CTTGTATGAAATCGGCCAGTGCCTGGGATTTATTCACCCTCCTCGGCTCATAAATAATTGTGTACTCACTCAGCTCGACCGCCCACTTGACTAATCGACCCGATACGGAGGGTCGACCTAACGTTTCCCCCAGTGGCATATTTGTCCGGACTTTCACCCTGTGTCCCAAAAAATATGGTCTCAACTTTCTGACAGTGACGACGACTGCCAAGGCCCCCTTTTCGATCTCCGAATACCTCTTCTCCGCGCCTGCATCACCTTACTCACGTAATAAATAGGGAACTGGGCCGTCCCCTCCTCCCGCAATAACACCGAGCTTACCGCCGTCTCGCCTATGGACACATATAACACCATGTCCTCCCCTTGTACCGACTTTGCCAACAGTGGTAGGTCGACCAACACCTTCTGCAACTCCTCGAATGCTTTCTGGGCTTCTTCTGTCCATTGGAACTTTGAGCTTTTCCTGAGTGTCTTGAACAGGGGCCCGCTTTTCTCAGCTATCTTAGAGATAAAATGACTCAGACATGCTATTCGACCAGTTAGGATCTACACCTCCTTCACCTTTGTGGGGGGCTGCATCTCGACCACCGCCCTTACTTTCTCCAGGTTGACTTCGATTCCCCTCTTTGTGACCATGTAGCCTAAAAACTTCCCAAATTTGACCCCAAATGAGCATTTAGCGGGATTCAACTTCATCCCATACTTCCGTAGGGTCATGAATGTTTCTTTCAAGTCATTTACATGGTCGATCTCCTCCTTGCTCTTCACCAGCATATCATCCACATACACCTCCATGTTCCTTCCCAGCTGATCCTTAAACATTTTATCCACCAACCTCTGATATGTTGCTCCTGCATTCTTTAGACCGAATGGCATCACCACATAACAATATGTTCCACGGCTTGTCACAAAACTGACCCTTTTCCAATCATCTCGAGCCAGCGGGATCTGATGATAACCCTGAGATGCATCCATCAAGCTGAGTAGCTCACACCCGGCTGTGGATTTGACCAGCTGGTCGATCCTGGGCAGTGGGTATAAATCCTTCGGGCATGCCTTGTTTAAATCTCGAAAATCTATGCACATCAACCCGTTTCCCCATGAATTTGAGACCATAACCGTGTTCGGTAGCCACTCCGGGAATTGGATCTCCTTTATATGACCTGCCGTCAAGAGTTTTTCTACCTCCGACTCGATCACTTTATCCATTTCTGCCCCGTGATGTCTCCTTTTTTGTTTCACCGGTCTTACATTGAGGTTGATGTTCAACTGGTGCTCATACTTTAGCCTTGATGCCAGTAAATGTTAGAGGTATGCTGTAAAAGCTATGTTTTGCAGATTCTATCAATTCCATTTTG